ACCACCGGCTGCACGAAAGGCCGTGCGCCAGTCGTCAGCGTCGTTTCCGTCGGCCTGCGCCAGCGCATTTTTTTCCTGCTCTGCCCGTTCAATGGCCGTGACGGTCTCATCCATCAGGCGGGCGTTCTCAAGATGGGCGGCTCTGGCCTTTTCCAGTTGTGCCAGCGCGGGTTGCAGATATTCAGGGATGGTGTTGTCAGACATTTTCCGGCTCCTCGTCACTTCAGGTTAAGAAAATTGTGACGTACACCGGACAACAACACGACGCATTGCAGATGTGCCAGCCCTGACACAGGAGACTCATCCTCACACCGGCAAGCCAGGAAAAGGTCGCAGGAAAAACCGTCTTACTGTTTGTTTTTTTATATTTTACTGTTCACCTCTGTTCGCCATAAGAAAAAAGATAAGTAATACAGTAAGTTAAAGGGTGAACAATCGCAGTAATGACTGTTCACCGTCTGTTCACCACTGTTCACCCGTTGATGGGCTTTTTGTGCTGTTTACTACTGTTTGTTTTTATTAATTCGCCGGGAATGAATAAGAAAAAACGATTTGTATTTCACTATAAAAATTACGAATTGCTTTAAGTGGCTTTAAATGACTTTAAGTGGAGATGAACAAAAAACACACAAGCATTGTAAGGCTGCCGGAACAAATCCCCCCTGTTGCGTCTGCTGAAAATATTCACAAAATAAAGCGCTACCCGAAGCCGGACAGACTTATCCGGTGCTGTATGGACATTAACGAGGTAGCCCGATGCAAGCTGTTTTTTCTTCCCCGTCTCCCGCCCCTGTGACGCCACTGATGCCGCAGCCGGACATCACACAGGAGCGTTTTTTGCGTCTTCCGGAAGTGATGCACCTGTGCGGCCTGTCACGCTCGACCATCTACGAACTCATCCGTAAGGGGGAATTTCCGCCGCAGGTGAGTCTTGGCGGTAAAAATGTGGCCTGGCTGCACTCTGAAGTCACCGCATGGATGGCCGGCCGCATTGCCGGACGCAAACGGGGGTATGACGCATGATGATGCCCGCTCTGCAAAAACTCCCTTTTTCTGGCTTGCCTTTTTCCGGCATTTGCGGATATAGTCTTTCCGTTGCCGCAAAATCGGCAGCCGGGCGTGAGAACCCGTGTAACTCGAAGGCGACATATGACGCGCCATGCGTCTTTTTTTGTGTCGCAATCAACGCCACAGAGCGCCAGATTATGGTGTGGCGTGTGGTTTGCCGTGCAGGTATGATCCTGTTCGCAATCGCATGTTATGCCACTGAGTCAATGGTAGCTCAGGCGGGGCAGCCTCCGGGCTGGCCGGTATTCTTCGAGGCCGGTATTCTCACCCCCGTCTGGGCTATCGCCATCGAGCGTGAGAACTCCGGCGATAGCAGTTATTTGCTACTCGAAGGAGGCTGCCTTATGGCTACAACCCTTACCCCCTCACACCCTGAATTTGTCTTTGTGTTTGCGGCTGTCCGTCGCGCAGACCGTCATCCCCGTATCTGCATGCTTCGC